CCAGAGTCTGTACAAAATGATAAAACAAAGGTATAAAAACCTGTTTGTACTTGTCAGTCACATTCAGGGTGTTTAATACAGAAATTTGTTGATTTTTGTGTACCAGACAGCGATGGCTTGTTATTCATTTCATAGTTTATTTCTAAAGGACCTGTACATAAGGCCAGACAGTTGAGAGGCTGATGTACTGAACCTGTACTGTATATTAGCATTTGAATTTAACTACAATTTAATGTTTTACAGGAATAAAACATCTTACCTTCACAGTCCAGACGCCCCAGGAAACATGAGAGGACAAACGCGGATAAAGCTGTTTTTAACAGCATTTCCTTTCTTATCTCCCACAGCTTCATTGTTGGTAGTTTCCTGGATTAAAAAACAATAATAAAGAATATACAGATGCTCTTTAAAGCTATTAAATTTACCTAAAGTTATTTTATGCAGTGAGTGTATGACTGATACCCTGAGCAATATCCCTGTGCCCCTGTGAGAGGAAATTCCACCACTTACAGGAAATTATGAGGTAAGGTGGGGCCTGTCTGCCTGTATAAACAAGTGTTCAGAATCTAGTAAAAAGATTTTGTCTTTTTTAGGTTCGAGTTCAAAAATATCATAGTTTAAAATGTAAAAGCTTGAAGCTTCTAAAGGTGTGAAGGTTAAATGTTAATAATGAATGTAAAATAATAATGTGAGGCCTTCATTGGATCGTATGATGTCATACCAGCTAATAAACCGCTGTTTGGATCGTAACACCTTATCAGTATGGAGGACCAGGAGTGTCAGAAATAAACATTTACACGAGTTTAAAAAGCGTGATTAAAAAAAGTTGTTAATAAATTATACACTTTACAATAATTATTACAAGTTATAACTTATTATATAACTTAACTTATAAGTTCTATAATATATTCACACCCAGCTACAGTCACACATCTAGTATGTTAAATCATGAACTTCAGAAATGGTTTTCAAAGGCTAAATTAAGAGTTTATACACCTTTACCAGGAGTGAAATAAACCATTACATGAGTTTAAAAAGTGATTTTTTTAAGTCATTAATACATTATTTATTTTATGAAAATATTGGTAAATGGCCTGTATTTGTATAGCGCTTTTGCTAGTCCCGCCTATAGGGACCCCAAAGCACTTTACACACCCAGTCATCCACCCATTCACACACTGGTGAAGGCAAGCTACAGTTGTAGCCACAGCTGCCCTGGGGTAGACTGACAGAGGCAAGGCTGCCATATTACGCCATCGGCCCCTCTG